AATTATACCGTGTGACACTGTATTTTGAAATAGAGTTAACTAAATGAAAAAATGGAGTAAGGAATGTGCTACTATTGGTTAAAAAAATTAGTGATTAAAAATTTGACTAATTTTTTTGTAACTTAAATACAAATGCAGACTGAAAAGTCCTTGGACGACTTCTATAATTAGTTTATATGGATACAGTGAACAATGCACTCATAAATGATGGTATATAGTTTAATCTGAAAAATCTGATTAGATAATGGTTTCCTTTTTCCTTGTTTTTAACCGGATTTGATTTAATTAGGGTCAAATTTTTAATTAACTGTCTAATTAATCTTTGAAATCTATCAGAGAGTTAAAAAACGTAATTTGGAAGTTGAAATTAGATTGAAAACTACATGGAAAATGGTATGTTAAATAGTAACATTACAAATTAGACATTTTTTAAGCCTATGGTTTATTGAAACTTTATGCTCAATAAATATTATATGATTCTTTAAACTGAATTTACTTCATAATTATTGTCTATATGTCCTATTAGAAAGAGAAAAAATCAAACGAAATTTTTATTGACAATTGTAAAATACCTAGTATAGCGAAGCTTAACTTTTAACCACTGTATCTTGGATATATTCTCGAGCCTAGGAACTGTTTTTACTTTTATGAACACCAGTGGCGTGGTATCTAGCTCTTACCAATACGAAACACCCAACAAATTTTTAATAGCAATGTGATGCTAATTTTCCAAAACGAATAGTGGCAAGAACGACTTTTCGAATAGAATCAATTATTATTTTTAAATTATGGCGGATGCGTCAGTACGATATAAAATTTCGAAAAAATTGTAGAAATGAATTAAGAGGTGTTGAAATACTCTAGAAGAATATTTTCAGAATGTTTCTAGCCGCAAATACGAAAGTCAGATTATCACATGGCTTTGTCAATATGAAAGAAAGTAGCATTTTTTCTCTCTTAACCAAAATTGAATTATTGGTAAACGGGCTCGTTTTAATCTCACGAGAAAAAATTTAACTATAAAATTCAAAATAGTATAAGAAATTTTTTTCAATTATTTCCTTTGCGAAACTTTCTAGCCAAAAAATTTCATGACCGCCATAGCCAAAAAGTATCGAAAATTAAGAGATTCGACATTTTCTAATTAGACGAAATTGTTTGTTTTTGTTACATCCATTTCTTTATAAATTTACGTGGGAAGAATTGCTTACTCGTAGTTTGTTTAAAATTATAATAAAATATCTTAATTATGGTAATTAAGCTTATTTGGCATTACACATTAAATGAATAAAACGGTTTAGCATGTTTTATTTGCAACATCTGCGACATTTGTACCTACTTATAAGATGTTGGTGAAAAAGATTTAATTTTGTAAACATTCAGAAACAGTTTAAATAAATTCTTGCTTATATTCATTTGCATGTCAACAAAAAGATACCTATACTCTAGTTTCTAGTGGAACACAAATTGTAATTAAAGGGAAAATAATAAATGATAAATAAAATTAACAAAAAAGTTGTTAAAATAAAAATTTGATGATGAGATGCCTCATTTTCAATTTACATCACAAAATACACTCAATAGATGTAACACGACGTATAAGTTTAGACTTGTAGTAAAAATAAATTATGAAATACGAAGTGTATAACAAATGTATTATTACCTAGTGTTAGCCTTCAAATTTTTCTAATAAAATGTATATAATTTCAGTGACCCGCATTTTTATAAACATCTAATTGATAACCGTAACAAAATGAATTGCTACAATTTATCATGAGTACCTATTACAGTTCAAATTATAATCTAATGCGTTAATTTAAATGTTTGGAAAATATAAATTACGGTAATTCTCCTCCATAAATGACATAAGCTCTAATAGAAACTTATTACAGTAACGTTAAAAAAACATCTTATATCTCACGTCTTTTAATTGTATGACTGCCGGTTGTATCGTTTGAAAACTAAAACTTCAGGTTAAAAAAAAAGAAATTTTAGAAATCCGTTTTTGTTTAATTTCAGCCTTGTTTGAGGTGATATAGGAAAAAGAAGAACACTTTCTCATGGCAACATTTTGCCCCCTATCGCATGGCATAATCAATTTTTATATGTAACGTTTCGTTTCTCCACGATCACCATCAACTTCATTTTTTTAAACACGGCCCTGGAAATTTTATTTCATTTTTTGCAAGCCTTCATGATCACAAACTGTACTGCCTCAACCCGAACCAGATTCAGACGTTTTATCTCAAAAAATTCATCTTCAATATATTCGTTCCAAATTTATCTAAATATTTTATTTAGATCTCTGTGTTTATTGAATTATCATACACTCTAAGTGTCGTTAGGCCCCGTGAAATCCACTCCATTTGCGAAGTTGATTAATGTTATATTACGTACTAATTTGTGAAAATGTCACGCTACAACAGTGGTGTTTTTGTTTGTAAGCAACGACCAAAAATCGAAATTTAATAATTTTTTTCAATGATCCAACAAAAAGAACCGGAATTTTTTTTGCAAAAGTTGCAAACTTTTTTTGTTTTTTTTTTTCATTAATTATTTGCATTTGTTTTGTTTCCAAGTACAAATTCTTTTATGAAAAATGACGTTTAATGTCAATTTTTTGAAATAAATATCATTTTCTTGCAATATCTCGCTTATTATTTGAGGTAGAACCTTACATCACTATATTAGTAAGAGAAAGCTTTATCCGAATATGAAAAAATATACAGGGTATTCCATAAGAAAAAACAAATTTATTGGCTCTCCAGCTTTTCTGGATCACCCTGTATACAACTGAATCATCTTAAAAGATGCCCCTCCCGAGAACAAAATCGACCTGTCTAAGCGTTTTTTTTTAAATCACACAGTATAAAAGTTATGAATTTTGTTCCAAACTTTATACAGGGCGGGCCATTAGTGTGTGAAAGTAAAATAACTCCCTTGTTACTCATAATACAGAAAAAAAGTTTATATAAAAGTTGTACAGAAACAAGAAATGATGATAAGTAAAAACGGGACACGCCAGATTTCCACCCTATATATTTTTAAACATATGGATTTCCGAGAAAATTCTATATATGGCAATATAAACAGTTTTTCATTTTAGTGCGAAGTTGCCAAGTTATGTAGAAAATGCATTGAATTTTGGAAAAAATATGACCTTGAAGAAGTTGTATTAACTTCCAACAACAAAATTATTAGACAGAGTTATAGGCAAATGTTAGTCAAAGGCTCCTACATTAACTAATATCGATATTTTGTACAGGGCATTTTTTATAATACGATCATTTTTAGAAATTTTAAAATTGATTTTTTGATAACATTTTTCAAATTTTATTGTTCCATTTTATTCACATATCGGTCCACTTCAACTTTTATTAAGCACGTTCTATATATCTAAAATTATTAGTTTTTAAGATATAGCAACATTTCTGAAAAAACTTAATTTTTATTATTTTATAGAATACCACAAATAAATATTAAATAATAAAAATAACTCATAATGAAATGATAAATTATGAACTGACAAGTTGACACAATGTGACAGTTTTTTTCAAAACCATTTCGTGCTACTGAAAATAATAAAAATTAGGTTTTTCCAGAAATGTTGCTATATATATCTTAAAAATTAACAACTTTAGGTGTAGAACATACTTAATAAAAGTTGAAGTGGACTGATATGTGATTAAAATAGAACAATTCCATTTGCAAAATTTTAGAAAATCAAGTTTCAACTCTAAAATGATCGAATTGTAAAAAATGCCCTGTATAAAATATCGATATTAGCTAATATAGGAGTCTTTGTCTATAACTCTGTCAAATATTTTTGCTCGAAGTGTTAGTAGTTGAATGTTAATACAACTTCTTCGAGGTCGTGTTTTTTCCAAAATTCGAAAAATCTACATAACTTGGCAACCCAGCACTAAAATGTTAAACTGTTTATTGTCTATTGTTATTGTCATATATATAAAATTTTCTCAGAAATCCATACGTTTAAAAATATACAGGGTGTTCCATTTGAAAAATGTAATATTTGGCGTGTCCCGTTTTTACTAATCGCCCTGTATGATTCAAATTAAGTTTGTCATTTAGGTTTTTTGATTCTGTACTACTTTTATATAAACTTTTTTTCTGTATTATGAATAACAAGGAAGTTATTTTACTTTCTCACACTAATGGCCCACCCTGTATATTTAATATAAACAACAGTTTTCAAATACAAAAAAATATAAATTGTATATAATTTAATAATAAACCGCTCGTGCTGTGAATTCCTGCAGAATTTCTTTTTGAAATAGTAAATGTAAAAAAAAAATTATGAAAACCCTAAAAATAATATATTTTACGTAGGTATACAAAGAAGAAACAAATTTGTATTAAAATAAGATTGAAAATGTGTCAATTCAAACTGAATTTGAATTTCAAGGGAATTAATATAATCGCTTCTAGAATGCCCTAAAATTTCTAGGCTTTCCATTTTCTTCGGTAATAAACCTTTATCAGCTATATGTAAAATACTGGAATTGGTTTCTATTTTTTTTGTATTTAACATTTTATCAATGAAACCTTCCTTGAGCTTATGTACTTTAGCTATAAGTTAATCGTAGAAATTTCTTTCAACAAGGCATTGTTCGATGGAAGTATTTTTAAAACTCTCTAAATGCAATAAAACGCCGCTAATTTATGTAAATATGGGTGAATGTAAAAATTATCTATTACCTACAATAAAATCGATATTTGACCGCTCTTGTTTAATATTAGACATACCTAAGTAATTTTTTACAAAATGTAACATTTTCTTTATACTTTAGTCCTATGTTTACCTGAAGATGTAATTTTGATATCGATAGATATATAATAAAAAAGGTTGTGGGTTTATAAAAGCTTTTTCTAATATTATTAAAACACTTTTACTCATAAAGGTTGACTCACTGCAATAAACAAACTTATTCAAATTGAAAAATAAATTAAAAAATTGCTGTCTCTAATAGTACACTTACCGAAAAATATCACAAAGGAATAAAACACCATTGTTAGACAAAATCGGCTATCTACTTATTTAACACTGAAAACGGGATGCAGTGCAGCTTCTGTGGTGTCTTCAAGTTCACTTTAATCATATCAAGCCTTAGCACAATAGTTTTAATTAAAAGAGCGAATTATCCTCCTTCACTGTGTGTTTACTGTACGGCGGCACACCAGCTCAGTGTGCGGGTAAAAATTGAATTGGTAAATGTGCAAGTCAATAAACCAAGAACTGGCGGCAGTAATTTGTTTGTATCAGATGCTTGAAGTGCACATTGTAGTTTGATTGTCTTTCGTGGAGTATATTGCTTTTTAATTGGGAATCTTGTTTGACGTTTTCAAGCCTGCTTCTTGTTGCTCTTACGCCCTACTAAGTCACTGCTGCAAGATATATGCTCGTACATTTTTGTGTGGCCGTTACGAGCACGTGCCCGCTTGTCATCCCCCCATTTCCATCTTTCACAATTAACTCTTGGCTTTGCAAGTAATTGTTCATTTAAATCCAGCAACGGTTGACTCCAGTACAGCTAATAGGAACTCGCTTTTACGTGATTTATTAAAAAAATACTTTCTTTCAATTTTTTAAAACACCATACAAGTACTTAAACCAGGAAATGTAGGGGTATGCAATATGCATGCATAATTCTTCGGTCAGGCTGATTTTTTTTGAGCAGATATTAAAAATAGTGTTAAAAAATAATACAGGATGTCCCACTACGAACTCCATCGATGGATATCTGGGAAACCGTTCGAAAGATTTTTTTGAAATTGTGATGGCGTGATACGGCCCGTGGGGCCTACCAAGCTAAAATATTTTCAAGGTCATCGTACTTCCGGTTATACCGGAAGTCGATACTAACTTTCTTATTTTAAATGGAACCCCCTGTATATTATTGCATTTTTGGAAAGAGCGTCTATTTCTAAGTTGAGAACATATAGCACACTTCATACTTAGGATTGACCGTTTCCGAGATATTTTGATTTTTAAGCAAAAATTGACAGATGCAGACTGTCAGCGAAATTTAGTTTTCCCAGTAACATAGGTTTATTTCTTTGTGCAAATTGGACATGTTGTAGAGGAAGACCTAATTTATCGAATTTGACATGAAAATTTTACAGTTTTTATACAGGGTGGTCGAATATGAAGTTCAGAAAATGTGGAAAACTGGAAATTTTTAATTGGAAACCCCTATTTTTTTAACGTATTCACATTCTGCACTAAAATTAAGTGTAACTTTGTTAATGTTTCCCTATACCTAAACCCAGTGGTTTTAATTTTATTTACGAATAAACATTTCCCTTTTCTTAGTATGATGTTTCCATTAGTTTCGCACCACAGACCACCTAGATTGGCCGTATTTAATTCCAATGCACGGGTACCAGTGAATGCAAAATCCGGGGAAGTGGAGTGTGGAAGGCAATCTGATCGCGCGCATCTTTAAGCAGATCCGGATTAAGAATATTTTTATTACATATTAAACATTATATTGCATCTTATGACAAATATTCAATTTTAAGATTGTAATTCAGAAAATAGTATATTTTAGTGTCATTAAATAAAACTACAAAATAATTTAAATATATTTATCCACGACTATTGTATAATGTACCCATTATACGTCTGTTTGCTCGACCTTAATAATACCCATTAATCACGGCAGTGATTAATGAGTCATTTTAATCACTACTGTCAGATGCTTCCTTAATTTAGCTATAATATTATATTGTTCTGCTACAAACAATCCGTTTTTAAAATTTTATCGTGTAATCCACTAAATATTTTCAATTCAGTGCTGTACATATAAAAAAAAAATTAAAAAAGTGAATTTTCCTAGACCGGATTGGAACCCGGGACCCGCGGTGGGAAGGGAAAGAGCATCTACACTGAGCCATCAGCGACTTCATTTGTGCGAGTCGTATATCTGTTTCTTAACATACCATGTTTTTCGAAACATTTCAAAAAAAACTTCAACGAAAATATTTAGTAGTCGTGGATAAAGTATAGTATTCTACTCCCGTATAATGGGTATTATTCACTCGGTGATTTAGGCCACTCGCCTGCGGCTCGTGGCCGTAAACTTCACCTCGTGAATAATACCCATCATTATACGCTCGTTGAATAATATACTATTATTGTCCTCTAAATAATATTAATTTATTTAATACTTGCTTTTCGTAGATTTTACCGAATTAAATTTGACTTCATGATTTATTCGTACATCGATATACTTTTCACATTCAGCCCATACAAGTTATATTAAATGATTACAATTGTTGGGCAAATTATCAAATTGATGTTAATGCAATTTTTCAAATATGTTCGCATTCAGAAAGTTTTTTAATACATGATAAAAATTTTTATTTTTCTGTAGCCTAGGTGTTCTGCTTTCATCATTATTAAAAACATTTATTAATTTTTCTGTTTCTTGGCATATTACTACGACATCTCAAGATGGATACCTCAAACAACCACGATCTTTAATAAAAATTAATTGACTGCACGAATACTGTGTATTTGACATTAAACTATTTACACAGTCTTCACATTTTATTGGCTTTATTAGAGAACTTGTTAATACGAAACCGCCAATATATAGTATATATTGGCGGTACTTGCTAATTATTTTTTTTGTCACAAAACTCTCTGATTTTTTCTAATCACATTTTGCCAACTCTCCCTTTTCAGGGTATTGAACATGAATTTGAAATTAGTTTTGTTTGCGATTTTTTCAATTGAAAAAAATATTTTATTAATTTTCAGCTATCTCGAAATGACGGGAATTGGTAAAATTTCATAAGAAGTTGAGACTCGCATAAAGTAAATAATTACTAAAAATATTTTACAGTAATTAATTAATTATTTTATAATAACAATATCACGTTTTATCATTTACTTGGTATTTTACTCCCTATAAGCTGTTTGCGAGTCACTTTTCGCTAAAATTTATGGTTTTCCCTGCAAAGTGAATAAACTGTTTTCCTCACTTATTTGTTTAAATAGAAAAGTTAGCTAATAAAAGTTTTTGACTCATGAGACGAGAGATGTCTTGTATTATGTTCCTTTAGACAATTTTACAATAATCTCGCGGATAGGACTTTTTTCCAGTTTCTCTTTTATTTTCGCTAATTTTCCTGATGTACCTGACCGAAGAATTATGCATGAAATGGTCATTTTCGGGCTAGATTTCCTGGTCTATACTAGGTATTAGCTAGTAATTATTAAAAATAAAAAATTAAAATGATATATCTAAATATTATCAATAAAATAATATATACCAGACATCATTAACTTTACAAAGCTATGCGCAAAGTATTGTGCAAATTCGTTGCTATTTTGGGTTATCTCTTCAATGCTTGAATTATCCCAAAAAAAATGAAATACCTAAGTATGAATTATAAACTGTGAAAACATGGATTAAAATTCAATAACCTTATATCCTTACTATACATACAGGGTGTTTTTAAAATTTAGTACTAAACTGAAACAGGAGATAAGAACTATCGTTTTAAAGACATTTTAAACATTTTTTTAATTACCTCATAACGGATGTTATGGGAGAATGCCTTTCTCATTTACAGTAGATGAAACTATTAATTTTTTATCCAAAATAATGTCTTTGGCAAACAATACATTTTTCTGAATTAATATTTTAAGAAATACAAAAGATGTTTGATATCGACATCTCACATGGTTTTGAAGCAAATTGGAAAAAACAATTTTATTTTTGACACATTTTGGTGACAAAAGATTTAGAAAATTACCTTGGCATACCAATTAAAACACGGAAACATTTAGTAAGAGTTAGTGGTGGATTGGATTATTTAAATTTCATTACAGTACATCACTTTATTGCGTTTGCGTTGATACATGCAAGTGCCAAACTTTGCGAGTAGGTACCTTCTTTATAACGAGTCCGACAAACGTTTCCTCTTCGAAAATTTTCGGCGTCGTGTCGCCACGTTTTCGAACGAGCGATTGCGGGAATTGTCGTTCTTTTTTATCGGAATGGTCAATTTTGATGACAAAACAGTTAAAAAAATATTTGTCCTATAAAAATCATGTCGCGTTCCCATTTGTCCACCATCCCCAAAATGTCAAAATGGCGTCATTTAGGTACCTATCCTTATACACGCAAGTTCCATTTTGCGTAAATTGCTTAAGTCAGTGGCGGCTCGTGACATTGAGAATAGGTGAAGCATATTTATTGATTGACTGAAAAAAAAAGCGCCGCAGGCGAAAATTTTCAAATTTTCAAGGTCAAACGGCTTTAAATGAATCTGGAAATTTTAGTTGCATTTGCAATATTACCGAAAAACTGACGTTGGCGAGAAGGATTTTCATTTAGATTTTATAAAAAATAGAAATATTAGTTCGGCTCGTGGACTTAATGATAGGTACAGACATAGATGTTAAGCGGGATTGTTAAATCCCTTCTTATTTCACACGCCCGATTTTACACTCGCAATTAAACACGGCATATAAAAAAGTTTTTTTAAATAAACACATCCACACAATCACTTACACTCCGAATACCATTCAATCCGAAACTTCCGAACATACACTTTGTCTTTTGACCTCCCCCTTTTTTCCACATCGAGAGAAGGTACAGGTCTTTCGCAATTTAAAAAATCTTTTTTGTCCTCAATTTTCGGTCTGGAAAATGGCATTTCCAATAAAATACATACAGGATCATGCATAGGAAACATTTCTACAAATTATTGATATAAAACAAATATTAATAAAGAACCATTATAACCGTGCACTGGGCAACGTATCGTATAAACTGTTTACACACGATAGACAGGCGATGCGCGATGACGATGAGAATGCTGCTTCAACTTTTGCATCACTCGTTCTCCCAGGCCGTAGTTTACACATGCGTTGGCTGCCTCGTTGCCATGACAACCGCCGTACGGAGAGCTACGGAGAGAAGCAGATATATACCAATTTCAATATGAGTCACTTGCATAGTATACGTTGTATGGTACGAGGTTGATGTTCGCGCTCAACGAAGGCAATGATTTTTTAGAAGGCGTTCACCGCGGAATTATTCTGTTTATTTCTGCGTATAAGACAAACAAACACAATACATTTTCAATATAGAATTGTACCTAAATTATAAGATTTATATAAAATTTAAAATAATTTTAAATTGCACAAACAAACGGAAATTTTAGGTGAAGTGGTGCGTCACTTGCGTCACCCGACGAGACGCCACTGGCTTAAGTAATTTGTGAAACAAACGGT